GCGGTACCCGGGCCTCTCACTGCTGTGGCCTCTCCTGTTGCGGAGCACAGGCCCCGGACGCACAGGCTCAGCGGCCATGGCTCACGGGCTCAGCTGCTCCGCGGCATGTGGGATCTTCCCGGACCGGGGCACGAACCCGTGTCCCCTGCATCGGCAGGCGGACTCTAAACCACTGTGCCACCAGGGAAGCCCCACTTCTCTTCTTTTTAAAGAGTGTCCTTGTGGCTCTGACCACTGCTCCCTGGCCCTGGGTCTGCAGTGGGGATGGGATGGGGAATGGGGGTGGGGGGGCTGTCTGCCCAAGTGCACCTGGCCAGTTGGCTCACCAGGGGCCTCTCAGGGCTGAGGGGACCTTGCAGCACCAGGCATGTTGCTGGACAGATAGTGTGTAGGTTCAGGCCTCTCTCCTCTCCACCACCCCCAACTTCCCCACATTCTCCTCTGCTCCCGCACCTCCCCTGCCCCGGCTTTCTCGGGGCTTCATTCTGTCCAGTGGACCCACATTCCCTGCTGGAGGTGGACCTGATCTGAGAGCTGGGGCCACAGCACCATCGGGGATCTTTACTGCAGCGTGTGCGATCTTTAGTTGCGGCGTGCGGGATCTAGTTCCCCGATCAGGGATTGAAGCTGGGCCCCCTGCACTGGGAGCATGGAGTGTTGGCCACTGGACCACCAGGGAAGTCCCTTTCTTTTTTTTTAATGTTAATATTTTTTCTGATTTCACCAATGATATGTGTTTATTATAGACATTTAGGAAATATAAAAAAATATAAAGGAAATAAAAATCATCTATAATCCCATACCCAGTGATAATCACCATGACCTTTTGGTAATTTTCCTTTTTTTTAACTTAAGCCTTTGAAAAGGTCACCTGTCCTTTGAGTCTGAAAGTCAGAGCACAGAGTTTCTTTCCCGTTGCACCCTCGCCAGGTTTCCTTCCTGGTGGCAGGGTGCATTGCATCAGGCAGCCGAGTGTTGTGCGCCCTGTCGCAAGGTGCTAAAGCACATACAGTGAACCCTTTCGTAGCCAGAGCGCACTGAGTGCACGGTTCGCCCTTTACCTTACCTACAGACGTCTGTCTCTTGGTAAATAGGGACTGACTTCTTGCTGCACAGCTGCCTGCCCCCTCCCTGGGGCATCATTGACTCCAGCTTTTGCTGCTGAAAGACATGCTGCTCAACTATATGCGTGTTATTTTGTGCGAGTGCTTGTGCATCCATGAGATAAATTCCTAAAAGTAGAATTGCCAGGCTGAATAGGTCAGGTGTGCGTGTCATTTGGAGGCACTTCCTTCTGTGGCTCAGTCTGCGTTCCCATCAGCAGCACCTGAATCAGCATCACCTGAGCTTTGCCAGCACAGGGTCTTGTGAGCTTTTGGGTTCTGCCCGCCGTGATGTGTGGAGGACGGGGTCTCAGGGCAGCTTTATCTGAATGCAGGTGTGCACGACTTCACGTGTGGAACATCCCTGTTTCCTTTTCTGTGAGCGCTCTGCTCCGACTCCTCACCTGTTTTTTGTTTTTTGTTTTTTTCTTTTTTGGCCCAGCTGCACAGCTTGGGGGATCTTAGTTCCCCGACTAGGGGTTGAACCTGCGCCCTCTGTGGTGAAAGCGTAGAGTCCTAACCACTGGACCACCAGGGAAGTTTTCCCCCCTCACCCGTGTTCTGTTGGGGGCACAGGTGTCTTTATGTGGGAGGGAGAGCTGTCCTTTGGGGTGTGCGTCCGGGCTGGAGTTTCCGTTTCTTTATTTCGGTGACCTCTGGGCGTTGGGGGAAATCAGAGCAGCGTGAAACGCCCCTTGCTGCATGATTGCCTTGGTTTCTGGTCCCTCCTGCTCTGGAGACCTCTTGGCGAAGCCTTGGTCTTGACCCAGAACAGATTTCTAGTCTTGTAGTCTGACCCTGTCTCTTTTTATCCACATGATCACATGGCAGTTTTTCCTGCAGTAAGAGAATTACTGCCCTCTGGTCTGGGTGGGCTGGTATGAGAAAGCCCTTCCTTGGAAACTGTTGCCATTTTCTGAGTGGGAGTTTGCATGCCTCCAGCAGGATTAGACTACAAGCTAAGTTCACGCTAACGTGGAATTACAATAAAAAGCAAACCAGAACCAGACGTTATGTTTCTAAGTGAATAATGAGCTGTGATTTCTTAGGTTTGAATTTTGTTGGAAAGTTGGAGGGAATGAGGCCCTGCAGAGTTGGCTGCTTCCTTGGTGACCTGCTGGGCCGACCGAGCTGGGGCTTGGGGCAGCCCAGCACCCTCTAGTGGCACTAGTTCCAAGGACAGGAGTCAGCGTTTGCGGCAAAAACAGCTGCCAGGGTCCACCATACAGCACTTAGATTCCTTCCAGAACCGAGGTGTGTCAGTTTCCTCCAGGTGAAACACCACCCCATCCTTCCTATTTCCAGACCTCACTCTGACCAAGTGGGGTCTGGAAACAGGCTCCTGGGTCCTGGGTCCGGCCCCAGGGAAACCGGCAGTGCTTCTCCCGCAGGAGTCCCAGGGGCATCGGTGTCCTCCCCGTCCCCTGTCCCCGCCTGGCAACAGCAGCGGCTCTGAGACTTCCCAGGAGCCCCCTGGTCTGTGGCCTCTTCCCTCTGACCCACCAGGTCCGTGATGGCCTCAAGGGTGTGGCCTGGCCCACTCTGCTCCTGCAGGGTGGACTGCACCTTGGAGCTAAGAAGGGGAGGCTGCGCAGGCGGCGGGGAACATGCAGCTCTTTCTTGGTGGAGACTTGCTGGCTGACCCCTGGGAAGGGCGTTCTCAGAGCAGAAGTGAGAGGCTGGAAGCTGTGAGAACTGGTTGAGGTTAGGGGTTGGGGTGGGACTTTGCAAAGGAATGGCTCTGGATTGGCTGCTTTAATTAAAATCCGGGTTTGTGGTGTGGCCTGGCGGTCCTGTGCCCTGGAACTTACGCGCCTGTGGCCGCCTCAACTTGCCCAGCACCTGTGTCTCCCCGTGCAGCTTCGTGACTTGAGTGACAGCACCCTATGAGGTCAGGGACATCCCCTCGCTTTCTGTGACACAGCCCTCGTGCTCGGCATGTGGTTGAAGGGATGAATAAACACGAGTCCCCTTGATGTGGATTCCGTGGGGCTCGAAGAAGTGTTTGTTGAAGAGTTCTCAGAGCTGACAGGGCCTGTGGTGGGCCCGGGAGGCTGGGAGCCTGGGGAAGCCACCCAGGTCCAGGCCTGCGGGTGGTGCTGTGTGTGCTGGGGATGCTGCCTCACTGCTGCCCATCCAGAGCAGGGGTGGGCCCACAGACACGTCCGCAAGTATCCTGGGAATTTCAGTCCCTGTTGCCATGAAGCGCACTTAAACCTAAACTTAAACATTTCAAGGTTGGCCTTTTGGAGCCCACCCAAACCTCGTGGGTCATGTGCAGTTTCGTCCCAGTGCATGTTGTGTTTGGACCAAAGGGTGTAGGGCTGGCTTCGAAGGTCTCTGGCCTGGGGCAGGAAGAAGGGTGACCGGTCCGAGGCTAGAGGAGGACGTTAGGTTAGGAATTGAAATTCTCTCTTGGATGCTGAGGTGTGAGCTGATGAAATGAGCTGGTGCACAGTCGTCTGGGGTGTGAGAGATAAGAGCTTGTTGGAAGGCCGGTGTGGCCGCCTCAGGACGTGGGCTCTGGAGGAGCATCTATCTCAAGTCGCAGGCGGGGCGGCGTCTCGGAGCTGTGGGAGGGGCCGGATAAGCCTCACACAGGGGCAGTGTTTTTCCTCAGAGTTCCCAGACCCAACCGTTAACTGCCGGCAAATAGAAGTGAGAGCTTCCCAGGACCCATTTCGGGCCCAACTTCTACTCTGCTAGTCTTGTCTTAAAACCGCACACACTTGAGAAACAAGGGCAAACACCTCCCTTTCCTCCTGATGGACCTCAGCGCAGCTCCGGGCTCACCTCTTGATGGCGGTGGGGTTTATAGGACATTCCCAGTGCGGCGCCCGCCCTCCTGGCTTGTTCCAGGGTGTCCCGGGGTTCGCCTGGGCCTGCAGCTGGCCCTCGGGTGCTGCTGGAGATGGCGCTCAGGGTCTGCACGCTACAGAGCTCTGTTTGTTTGTAAAGAGGCACGAGCCTCAGTGCCAAGTGCCCCACGGGAGGCGGTCGCCAGTGTTGGGAACATGGAGTAAAGTCCACGTGGAAACTAGGGACCCAGGGAGGGCGTGTCTCCCCCCAGAGAAGAGGACCCCATGCCAGCGTGTGCCCAGACTGTGTGGCCAGGGCTCTGGGGACAGTGACATGGTGGAGAGTCTGCACCCGCCTTGACTCTTCATTTCCCTGGTACCCAGCTTCGGCACTTGCAGCTGAGTCTCCATGAGGCCTGTCCCAAGCCCCCTCCCAGCCCATACACACCCCTGCACCCTCCCCCCATCCCTTTTCTTATCACTCTCTTGGGCTTCTCGTGTTCACACAGTTTGCTTACGATTCCCTGTGTCTTTCTCGGCACCGCTGAGTGGGAGCCCCCAAGTGCAGGGCTGTAAATTGTGCCCCAGGAGCCCGAACCAGTGCTTGGGGCCTCCGCATGTGCCATGTGGCTCAGCAACCTGCATGAGGCATCCCTGGGCTCCTTGAGGAGCCCACACGGCTACCTCTGAAATGAGAGGCCTCTCAGTGTTTACTTCTGACTCTGCGGCATTCATTCTAGCAGGCACTTTGAGCCGTGTCCTAGAGGGGAGCTCCGAGACAGGAAGACCTTGATTTTGAATCCACCAGCCTTTCCGAGCAGGGGTGAAGTGAATGGAGGAGGAGCTGGCGCCCAGTTTCCCCCGCCTGCTTCCCTCATACACAGATGCTGAGAGCATAAATGTTGCCCAGGCAAGTGGAGCCACTACCCTGGGTCCCCTTCGTGTGGCTTTTGATCCCTGAAGACACTGTTTCTCAGGGTTTGACGTGAGCTGTCCAGCCCACAAAGGCCCTTGGCCAAGGAGTGGGGAGGCTCCAGGAGCCTCTGTCTGCTCAGGTGTACTTGCTTCCTTCTGGAAGAAGCCAAGAGCAGTGTCCTCCACTGGGACCTGGGGAAGGACCCGGGGTCTCTTCCCCAAATCGTGACAGTCACCAAACCCGTGCCTGGGTTTCACCTTAAGGGGCTGTGTCATCAGCAATGGCCAAACCTTTGCCCTCCAGACTCAGCCACAGCCTGCAGCCCCACCCCTGCAGCTCAGAGCCTAAGACCGTCCCTTGAGGGGGGCTCTTGGGGGCCTGGTTCTCCTGACGCCCTGGTGGCAGGACAGGCAGAGGGAGCAGACGCTGGTGTTGGCAGGAGTCCTGGGGCAGTTGAGGTCACAGACATGCTCTGTGTTCTTCCCACGGTCCTTTGCCCGTTGCCCATTCCCTGCTGGAGACAATGAAGGCTTATTTTTACGTTTGAAACTGCTGACCATGGATTCTGCCGTCCGTCTGGGCGGAGCTGTGGGGAGAGGCTGTAAGAACGGCCTGTGGGCGCGGGGGGTGGGTGGGGGGCAGCGGGGCCGCCTCCCAGCACCCTGCATCTGTGTGCCTGAGAGCCCTGAGACCTGGGCGCCAGCGGGGCCAGCAGAGTGGGGCTGGAGTGTGACGGGGAGGGTACCCCGGGCAGGGCAGGTGGGCCTTGGCTGGGCACAGACCCCCTTGCCCTCTGCTCCAGCAGTCGCTCTCCCCACATCCACACCAGGTGCCATGCCACGGAGCCATGGCCCCAGCTTTGTGTGTGGTCCCCCTGCACGGCGCCGCTAGGAGACTGTTCTCCTGGCAGGGGCTTCCTGAGAGATGGTCCCCCCAGAGCGAACACATGTTCCTTGGGCCTTTTCCTTCCTCCATTCAGGAAATGCCCTCAATGCCCCCACGTACCCAACCATTACCGGTTGTATGGTGAGCAGTGCACCTTGTGACTGAATTCTGGTTGGGAAACAGCACTGACCAGGAGATGGCAGGTCATGCTGCTGCCCAGTGCACAGGACACACGGGAACTGTGAGCAGCCTGTGGGGCCTGGCTCATGGTTGAGCCACTGAGAAGGTGGCGCTTGAGTTGAGATCTGAAAAGGCGGGGAAGGAACCCCGGGGCACCTGGGGGAGAGTGTGTGGCCAGGGCAATTACACGGACCTGGAGAGCCTCAGGGCAGCCTATTTTGCTGGACCCATGGGAGGTGGGGAGGAGAGACAGGGTCAGAGATGAGTGGGCAGGTCCCACAGGGCTCCGGCACTCTGGGGTCTTGGTTGGGACCTGCTTACGTGGGAGCCTTGGGGGTCCGAGTGGAGAGGGTGGACAGAGGGGCCGGAGCGGAGAAGGTCTGGGCTTTGTCCCTGCCATGAAGCAGATGACTGACAGACGGCTTGAGGTGGGATGTGAGAGATGAGGGTCAGACACAGAGTTGCCATGTCTGGCCTGAGCAAGGCCAGGGCTTGAAAGAACCAAAGTTCCATCACGGAGACGAGGGAAGCCAAAGGTTTGAGCCGAGGCTGGTGGCGGTGGCCGTGGAGCCCCTGGGGCTGCTGGTGTCTGCAGGGGGACGGGCCCCTCCCCGGCAGGACCTTCCTCTCCTGCTCAACTCTCCCTTTTGGTGACAGGCCCTGCCCTGCCAGGCAGCCCACTGTGATGGAGCCTTCCGCAGCTGTGCAGAGGCGGCCTCAGGATACCCCTAGTGCACTGAGCCTGTGGGACAGAGATGGGAGCCCTGGCTCTCTAGTTGGACTACAGATTCCAGGGCTGGCCAGGAATACAGTTTTTGTGGGTGTTCCTAATACTTTTTCTTCTCTTACACATACTGAGGTCCGGGACAAGATGCTTTCTTGCTCTGGAAGTCTCCCCCTGCAGTTTCCTCCGTGTGCTGGGAGGAGGCGCCCTCAGGGGTGTCTGTGTGGCTTGTGTGCACGGCTGGGAGCTGCTGTGTGGGTGGCTGACGGCCTGCTCTCTGCAGCCTGTGCACATCTGGTGTGGTGCGGCTCCACGTCAACAGCTGGCTGGAGGTGAGCTTCTGCCTGCCCCATAAGATCCACTACGCGGCCACGAGCCTTATTCCCCCCGAGGCCATCGAGCAGAGCCTGAAGGCCATCCGGTGAGTGCCAGCCCCACGCACACCCTGCCGGGGCCCTGCTCTCCTGTGTCCTGAGGTTTACCAAGTTCTTGCTTCCAAAAATCGTCTTTTCCTCTTCCCACCACAGAAATTGGGAGGTAGGGCGCTGCTGTTTACAGAGGGAAAATACACGCTTTTGTGTCCAGTTTTGTCTAGAGATGACCACCCCAGGTTCCCCACGGGCCCTCTCAGCACTGCCTGGCCAAGCGGGGCGCTGTGCTGCGGTCCCAGACGAGGGCCTGGGCAGGGCTGTGGGGCTGAGCATCATGGCAGGGGCCAGGAGCCAACCACGGGAGGTGTTGTGTCTTCATGGTGTTACTCACCGGACCTCCTGCTCAGATCAGAACTTGTGAGATCTGTTTCTTCATGTCACCGATTTCCTTCAAGAAAAGCGCTGAGCCCAATCTTCTGCCTCCCCCTCCTCCATCAAGTCCTTCGTTTCCTTAAATGTTTTTTAACCAGAAAAGGAAATCTGGGTACATAACAGAAAATGTTGAGACGACAGAAAACAAAGCACTGCCTGGTCCCTCCTCCCACCCCAGGCCTGTGCGCCGACCCGGGCTTCCTTGCTAAGCGTATTTCTAGGTAGTTCTGTTCATAGTCTGCAGTGGGGATTTTGCTTCTCCCATATTTGGGACTCTTTCCTTAGGAAAGATTCACTCGTTTTTGAACGAACATTTGCTGGGCAATCCCAGAGGTGGGGGGATGGAGCCGGGTCACCCGTCAGGCCTTCCTCAGTTTTTTGTGTGGGTGATCCTTGCAGGTTTTTAAGGGCCTCAGGGCACAGCACTGTCTTCTGCTTCCTCCCCGGCCTCTTCTCTGCAGATGCACACCCAGGGCAAGGGCCTGGGGCTCGCTGGTTGTGATGACCCGTGTCTCTGCCCCACAGCCCGTACCACGCCCTTCTGCTGCTCAGCGACGAGAAGTCCCTGCTGGGCGAGCTCCCGATTGACTGCTCCCCAGCCCTGGTGCGTGTGATCAAGACCACGTCTGCTGTGAAGAACCTGCAGCAGCTGGCCCAGGACGCAGACCTGGCCTTGCTGCAGGTACCCTGAGGGCTTGAGGAGACACCCTGGGTGGGCAGGATGGGCAGCAGGGAGGGGCTGGACGCATCACAGCTGGCACCTCAAGTTGCCTCCCTAGGGCCTCCATCCAGCTGAGGGCTGCTGCATGGCCTGCTGTGGTGGTGGGTGGATCTGGAGTCCGACCTGGGACCAGGCCTCGGGATTGACTTCCTCCTCTGTGGAGGGGAGGGGGCAGTGAAAGTGCGGCAGAGGAGTGAGGCCATCGTGGTGCCAGGTGACGGGGCCGCACAGGACCAGAGCCAGGGCTGGGGGCTTGCAGGGTTGAAGCAGGGGCACGCAGGGTGACTTAGCCCACGTGGGAGCCATGCAGAGCCAGCACCAAACCCAAGTGGCCTTGATTCCCCGCGCCACGCCCCACGGGCACACAGGCCTGTGTTTCTGTGCAAGGTGCCACCTCCTTGCCGAGCCACGTGCTCACGAGCTGCCCTTTCTGATCAGATGGGGGCCCTTCCTCCCTGGCTGTGGATCTGGTTTGAACCTGGGCGGGACTGGGGGCAAGGAAAAGCCCAGGGAGAAGTTGAAGGCCAGGGGCAGGGGGCCTTCCAAGCGACAGCCTGAGGGTGGACTCAGGGTCTGGAATGGGGCACTGTGTGACCACCAGGGGGCAGCAGGGCCTGGCCCAGGGACCAGCGGCTCCTACAAAGGCCAAGGGTGGAGCACCATGAGGCAGGCCACCTAGGCCCCTGCGAGGCACCTCCAGGGAGCCCTTGGCCTTTGCTCCTTAGCACGTTAGGGGAGCTTGTCTACCAGGCCTGACTCTCAGGCCATTTTCCCCAAAGCAGCCTTTCTGGATTCTTTCGTCCCAAATAAGCCCTTCCCCCATCTCTACCCCATGACCTTTGTCCACCCCATCTGAAAGTGTTTATCGGACTCTGCCTTCGTGTTTCACATGGGCTCCTGGACTGCCTTCCTAGCACCCACGAGACACAGAACATTTAACGCGCTAGCTGTTGTGTGTGTACTGCGGAGTTTGTGTTCTGACGAGTACTGGCTGATTGGCAGATGCCTGTGAGTGTGCATCTCTGAGGGGGTGACCCTCACTGTCCCCTGAGGCTGCCCAACATGGAGCCTGTTTGGACACTGTGCCTCACAGTTCCCCCAGACACAGACAAAGCTCTGATGATGTCCCCTTCGCCTCTCCCCGGCCTTGCCATGGGGTCCCCTTGCTGTTTCCTTCCATGCCCCTTCCCACTGAACCTGGTGCAAATCAGGGTTTGCTGCTGGTGTGGTCGTGCAGATGCCCCCTGGGGCCCAGCGCTGGTGGTTGACCTTACCAGCCTCTGGGACTGCTGCTTCCTGCAGCAGACCACCTAGCGGAGGCCCCCGTGTGGAGGGAGGCCAGCGAGCCCAGCTGGAACCTCAAGCACAGGTGTGAATGTCACCAGATGATTTAAAATCACTCATGTTCCATCCTAGGCAAAAAAACTCTACAAGTATTTTGAGGGTTTTTTGTCATGATGAAATTAATATATTCTTATAAAAATTCAAATATCATACAAATTATAAACAGAAAAAGAGAAAGTCCCCATAATCCCATATCCTAGTGGTAACCTAGATTCCTCCAAGCTTTTTATATACATATTAACACATAATCTCTGAATAACAAAATTAGGATCACACATTACTTGTGATTGGGTGAACAGTGGCCCCATAGACCTAATCTCTGGGACCTGTGAGTGTGACCTTCCTTATGTGGGACTTTGCAGATGGGAATAACGCCCTTGAGACAGGGTGATGATCCTGGATGATCTGGGTGGGCCCTTCTGAGAGGGAGGCGGGGATGTGACCATGAGGCAGAGATGAAACGTGTGGTCACAGCAACTTGGAAGCAAAGAACAGTCTCCCTGCTGACAGCTTGACTCCAGCTGGGTGATCCTGATTTCAGACTTGTGGCCTGCAGAGGGCGCTCTGGCTGCAGAGAGGTGGGAGGTGGAGCCCATTGGGCGAGGGTGGTGGCAGAGATGGAAGGAAGGGGGCCTGTGTCCTTTAGAGCCATCAGCACTGGGACTTGGGCTGAGAAAGAAGAGGGTCAGCGATGGAACTGAAATTTCCTCTGTGTTTGAGTTGGCTGTGGCACTGGAGGCCCTGTTTGCCGAGACGAGGTAGAGGTGTCCCCGGCACTGTCACAGGTATGCATGCACCCTCAGAGGCACTTGGCCGTGGTGCTGCAGGATGAGCGGTCCCTGTTGCCGTGGTCTCACCCTGGCTCCCTGTCCTGTCGTCATGGTCTGTGTGTCTTGAGAGTCAGGGCAGCAGGACAGTGGGATGTTCTCCAGGGATGAGTGTGTGGAGGAGGCAGGTGCAGTGACCCACATCCACTGTCACGTGGAGCCCCGTCCCCGTGCTGGGCGCCGGCTGGGCTGTGGGCTGGCCTCTGCTGGGATGTGCAGCCAAGCCCCTTGATAAGCTGGACTGGCCTCATCTCGGGTGCCCCAGCGTCCCCGTGCTGGTGCCAGCCAGGACGGCTCAGGGACCAGTGATGGAGAGGCTTGTGGCCATGAGCCAGGGGGTTGCGTGGGTTGGCCTCCCCAGCATTGTCCTCCCGGCCCTCTGCCCGCAGGTTTTCCAGCTTGCGGCGCACCTGGTGTACTGGGGCAAGGCCATCATCATCTACCCGCTGTGTGAGAACAACGTCTACATGCTTTCTCCCAACGCCAGTGTGTGTCTGTGAGTCTCCCTGGCTGCCAGAGCCCAGGGCCCCCGAGTGGGCAGGGGCGTGGCTGGCAGGGCCGGCCAGGTGGTGCTCCCCAGGTCAGCTGGGCCCACGTTCCAGTTCTGGCCTGGTCCAGCCCTGCCTGGCACCCCTGGCTTGTGCTCTTCCAGCACCTACGGCCTCCAGGAAGGGCCTGCCCGTACCTGCCGGCCAGTGGGTGCTGCACGGGGCACCTGGTGGGAGGTCAGGAGCCTTGGCCTTGACTAAGGGGCTCATAGGGGCTGTGGTGTGGGGAAAGCATCTGGGTTCTGTCCTCATTGCACCCATCCTGGCCCACCCACCAGGCTGCGCCCCCTCCTGCCCACCACAGGCTCATGGCGAGGGTGCAGACGCCTGAATGGTGGGGAGGTCTGCTGAGCTCACGGACCCTCACCCCCTGTCCCCAGGTACTCTCCGCTGGCTGAGCAGTTCTCACGCCAGTTTCCATCTCACGACCTGCCGTCTGTCCTCGCTAAGTTCTCCTTGCCCGTCTCCTTGTCAGAATTTAGGAACCCCCTGGCCCCCGCTGTGCAGGAGGTGAGTCTCAGGAGCTCAGGGAGCCCGGGAACCACCCACCTGGCGTCAGTCCCTGATCCCAGGCTCTCAGTGCTGCCGTGCTTTTAGCCTTGGTTTGGGGGGAGGTGCTTGCTGTGTAGGTGGTACCTGCCCTACCAGGGTGACCAGAAGCCGTGTCCCTGGCTAGGCCGCCTGCAGACACTTGGGCATTGCAAGTCCCTCCCCCCATGGAGCCCCCCTGCCCATGGTGGGCACTTCTTAGGGTTAGAACTCAGTTAAGAGGCCCAATTGGCAGGAGATCGGTGACCTCTCCAGGGAGGACAGAGCCACTTGGTGCCCCCTTCTGGGCCTGGGGATCCCATAGTTGGGGGACGCAGAGGGGATTTTGTTTTCACTGAGTCTGGTCCCTACACTCCTACTCCCTCCCCTGCCTGCATGGTCCAGGTGGCCACAGGGTCTGTGGGTGTAAGTCCTGGGCTCACTGGTCCCCAGAATCTCCTCATCCAAGGGGTCCTGGGTCTTGGTCAGGGTGAGAGGCAGGCAGGGTGCTGGGTGTGGTGGGCTGGCCACCAGGGAGGGGTGAGACGTGTGGAGCGAACTGGTGAGTTCTGCGTTTGTGGCAGGGTTGAGTGTAGCCTGGATCCAAGAGGCTTTGCCTCCTCCCCTCCACTGCAAACCTGGGGCTCTGGGGCTCTGGGGCTCTGGGCAGGGCCAGGTGGGACAGGTGTCGGAGATGGGTCTGGGTGTTCTCAAGACTTTGTCTTCAAAAGTAAAGTATTTGCTTTAATAAGTGCCAGGTCTGTTAGGCAAAACCAGTCCTTAAAAGCTTAAGAGGGGGCTTCCCTGGTGGCGCAATGGTTGAGAGTCCGCCTGCCGATGCAGGGGACACAGGTTTGTG